AGATGCGGTTTAAATTAGTCATAATAAATTAAGTAGATTAGAGACGAATACGCGAAGTTACTTCTCTCTCTCTCTCTCTCTCTCCCTCCCTCCCTCCCCTCCCTCCCTCCCCCCTCCCTCCTCCCCCCCTCTCTTTTTCCTACAAAGAATTCCTGCTGTGCTTCATCCCTTTGTATCCTTTTGTATTGATCGTGTTTGGTTTCCATCGGAGTCCTAAATAAAATTCGACCGAATGACATGCATCATAATGTCTCGCGCAGATTTACGATTCGGTAGTGCGATTGTAATTCTATCTTGGAGGTTAAGATAGCTTTGTTGGCACACGAGATAAATTCTCTCTTTCGAGGTGGTGGAAGGTTAACGGTCAGATATCGGACACATTTCGAATTTTTTATTTTATTTTTTCGATGGCCTTTTAGCTTTGCCAAAAGGTGATTAAACGTTTCTCCAATTTTTACACACGTTGATCCAGAATCGAAGATTCTCTCGAACTTTGGTATTCCATTTCTAATTTTCGCATAATATGGTAAAGGAAAGGTAGTTGAGGGAGTTGAGAAAAGATGTGAGCGATAGCTACGCGTTCAGGTAAAATTCCTGAAACAGGCATAAGCGAAAGAGATTCTTGGGAAGAGATTATCTAACAATGGAAAGTACGCGATCTCTTCGAGATTGCTCATTGAAAATCTACGCTTGCCCACAAAATTTGCGTCAACAATCCTCAACAATCCTTCTTCAAACTTCCCTCTAATGTTACGTCGTTCGAACGAAATTGAATTCTATTCTCGAAACACGAAAACATACGTAAATGAAATTTGATCCTTTTCTTCGAGTTCAAACCATAAAATTCTCTCTCGATCCTCTAAAATTAAAAAAAAATCACTCAGAAGGTAATGATTCGGAAGCGTTAAACAAATTAAAAGGGAAAAAAGGAGAAATTTAAAAATAATGAAAAGAAAAAACAGATCTGTCTGTTAAAACAAACGCAAAAGGGAAGGGTAGAAGCTTATTATTCATTGTTCTACCGGTGAGCAAGAGACGACAATTTCTCAACGTATTTATTAGTATTAGGATAATCCCATTTCTCGCCAATGTCAGTGGAACACCACGCCCCGCGCGTCCACGATTCCGGGGGCAAAGTCGCCTTTAGAGCACGAGGAAGGGTAGAGAACGGGTCGGTGCTACCGATGGATGCGTCCCCGGGGATACTTGCAACCGCGTTTGTTCTTCTTCCGTCGTGGCAATATTGAATATGAACGAAAATGGGCTGAGGCGAAAAAGCCAATTCACCGGTTCTTAAACCGCGTACCGTTACAGATGTCGAGCAGAGGAAGGAAGGGACAACGATGGCTCGGTTCACCCGACTTGTTGTCCGCTTGTCTCTGCGGGAACGAACGAAAGGCTTGTCCTAATGCTGGAAAATTTAGGGCCGACACTTGCTCACAGATGGAACACTCTGCTCGTTCCGACAATTTGTCTTCGTCTAATTTCTCGTTGTCGTCGAGCGATCGATCCGATCCTCCTGAAATCCT